GGTGAAGTCAGGACTGCTGACCCACATAGTAGTGCCTTTTCTACTAGAGGGGCTTTATATACGACATGAGAGTAATCACAAGGAACTTCTTAACTAGTTACTTTTTTCCAGCCCTAGCTGGTTCTCTGTGGAGCAGCTGTCTTCCCCCACCGCGAGTCTTGCATGTGCTGTGAACAGAAGCCCTGGGGCTGGGCATGCGCAGTTATTCTTTACTGAGCTCCGGGCAGGTGCCTGGACCCTGGCGTTGCTGTAGCGGATGCTTCAGTGAAAACAAAGTCAGGTGCCCCTTGGGAAGCACTGGTGTTCTGATTCTGTTTTTCTTCCTTCTGGCACATGCTGGAAGCCGATTCCGGGGGACTGACTGCACATCATGTAACGGTGGCGGGTCTGCTTTGCAATGGCCACTGGGGCCCCTGGACAGCCTCGGTGTGGTTCTCCCAAACCTGGTCCAGATGGGTCACCTGGTGATTCTGGTTACTCCTATCACTGTGTATTTTGCCCATCAGATGGGGTTTTGGGCAGGGATAAATATTGCTTTATATTCTTCATATTAGGTGGCAACATTCATTAAGAAACATGCTTTACATATGTTTAACATCACTGGGGAAAAGCTTGGCTTTTAGAACATTCTCTCAGGGACAAGCCAGACAGCTCCCAGCATGGGAAGATTTCTTTCCTTTTAGTCAGGGAGGATGATAATTGTTTTTCTTACTAGCAGTGAGTAATAGAGTAAAAAAAAAAGTACAGCTTCTGAAAGCACAGGATAATTAGGGGAAAATAGAGCCCATGACTAAACAACGGCAATTGGCTCTTGTCTCAAACCAATTAGCCACAGAAATGATTAAATTCTCTCCTCCTCTGTCGTTAGAGCTAGAAGCTGTGGATCCAGGCTCTCCTGGGAAGGCAGGAGCAACTGCTGGGTCATCCCTAATGGGGCTTCAGAGGCCTCCCCTGTCCCTCCACCAAGGACATGTGTGCCCTTGTACCGAGCTCCAGTGTGTGGGGACTGCGCTGTCCTCTGATCTGCGCTCCATCACTTTCTAAGACTCGTCATTTCAAACACGTACAAGAATAGCGAGAATGGTAGTGCGAACTCCTACGGATGCCCACCACCTGATTCATCAGTCATCGATAGTGTGCCAAGTTTGTGGCATCTGTCTCTTCCCCTTGACATTTTGTTTTCAGGCATTTTAAAGCAAATCCTAGGTCTGTGTCATTTCACCTGTTCATACTTCAGTGTAGATTTCTAAAATGTGAGCATTTTCCTACATATCCACCATATCCTTATCACACCTTACAAAAGTGGTAGTAATTCCTTGATACTACCTGAGACCCGGTCCATATGTGAGATTCCTGGAATGTCTCAAAATTGCCTTTTGATAGCTGGTTCATTCAAATCAGGACCTAAACCAGGCTCTCTCGTTGCATTTGTTTGTTTTGCCTCATGAATCTCTCTTGTTGAAAGCAGCACCCCCATTTTTTCTCAAGTCAGTTGTCCTATTGGGCGTCTCACTTTCTGGATTATTCTGCTTGCTTCTTTCTTGTGTCCTTTAGCTTGCCCCCAGCCCTTCACCACCCGTTTTAGAGCTGGAAGTTCTCACTAAAAGGCTTTCTTTTAGATTCATGTCAACTTTTTTTCTATTTAAAAAATTAAATTTTTTCAGCTTGATTGAGGTATAATTGACAAATAAAATTATAAGATATATAAAGTACATGTCATGGTGATTTGATATAGTATACATTGTGAAAGGATTCCCACCATCTAGTTAATTAACATCCATCATCTCATATTTTTTACATTTTTTAATGAGAACATTTAAGTTTTACTCTCTTAGCCAATTTCAGTAATATAATACAGCATTATCAACTTTAGTCAGGATATTTTACTTTCTAATCAACAAACACTTGGTAGACAGGGCTATGCTTGTCGCCATGCGCTTGATCAAGGGCTCGGTCAGGGGCATTATGATGTCCGCTGGTCCTGAGGTTCTGCGTGAGACTGGAGTGTGGCAACATGGGTGGACATCGTGGACAGCTGCAGGGGAACCTTTGCCTCCGTGCTTCATCCTAACCCTCACGTGGCCATGCGCCCTTTCTCCTCGCCACAGGTAGATGGTTTGTTCATTATTGGTTGGATGTACCTGCCTCCCCACGACCCTCACGTGGATGACCCAATGCGATTCAAGCCCTTGTTCAGAATTCATCTGATGGAGAGGAAGTCTGCCACGGTGGAGTGCATGTATGGCCATAGAGGGCCCCACAATGGCCACATCCAGGTGAGTGTGTGCTCGGGACTCCCTTAGACATGGCAGCTGTGTGCAGGCTAGGGGTAAGGTGTCCTCTGCAATTCCCAGTCCTAGTGCCAGCTGAGTTTGCGGAGATATTCCTAGCTGTGAGCCTGTGTCTATATAGATCAGGGGAAACATGAGGAGATGGGGGCACTACCCCCACACCTTCTGTGTATTATTTATGCTTTGGTGCTGTGATGTAACTCCCCAAAGAATCACTTGCTGGAACCCTCCATTGGTTCTGCATCCAGTTAAAACCATTTGTTCTTTCCATCCACAATTCCTCAATGTTCCTTTTGCAAAACCTCTTTGCAAGAAGTCAGCTTAGAATAAGACACTGTGATACTGTTCTGGCAAGTGTGTTATCTGACACACTCCAAATGACAGCCTCCTTTTGCTGCTCTAAGAATCCTCCTGGGAAAGCACAAATGCCTCCCCCTTGGATGCACCCCTCCTTGAAAAGAAGGTGTGTGCTCAGGGTGGTTCTGAGCTTCCCTCTGTGGACCAGCCACAATTTGGTGGCATCTTGAGCTTCTGTAGCTGAGTGGGGTACATCGGTGAGGAGGGGCTCATCTTTGGGTGAGGGCGTCATGACTGACTCGTTCCCCTCTCTTCTTTGTCATGAATACTCAAGATTGTGAAGAAGGATGAGTTCTCCACCAAGTGCAACCAGACGGACCACCACAGGATGTCTGGTGGGAGGCAGGAGGTGAGCCTGTATCCCTTCTGTGCACATGGAGCAGATGTGAGTTTGAATGGTTTGACATCACCAGCATGCCACCAACAAGAGGACTTTGACTCGTTCCCCTCTCTCCTTTGTCATGAATACTCAAGATTGTGAAGAAGGATGAGTTCTCCACCAAGTGCAACCAGACGGACCACCATAGGATGTCTGGTGGGAGGCAGGAGGTGAGCCTGTACCCCTTCTGTGCACATGGAGCAGATGTGAGTTTGAATGGTTTGACATCACTGGCATGCCACCAACAAGAGGACTTTATCCCATCCCATGGTTCATCCTCACGTTGTTGGCACAGAAAGCACATCTTACCCTTTTGTCAGAAATGGCCTCATGTGCATATGTGTACACAAACACGAGTTCTTATTTCCCACTACCCCTCAGAATGAATGACCAAAAAGAAATAGTTTTCTCTCGTTAGTTCTCCTTCGCTCCTTTGGGGAAATCTCCGATGGGCTGTGCAGGCTTCTTCTTAGAGGTGAGTTGCAGGGAGATCAGAGGGCTGTTTTTAGGTAGCATAATGGATAAACCTGCATGCCATTGCTACCCAGGAGTTTGTGCTTCTTTTTGTTTGCTCAAGTAATTTTGTCTTGTCTTTGAGTTTCAGTTTTCTGAGGATCTAAGTCATATTGCCATTTCAAAATATTCTTAAGAAGAACTTGAACTTTTAAAATATAGAATGCTCATTGCAGCTTCTAGGTATTTGTTGGAAGTGCACTTCTCAGCCAGTTTCTGAGTCTCTGATGGCTTATGTTAGCTCGTGATTTCTTTAGCATCCTGCCTGTGAAGGAACCAGTGAATCGTCCTCCCCCAGCCCTTCATGTGGGCTCCAGCCTTCATCAACACCAGAAGCCAGCCCTGCGAGGTCATTTGTTAGTAAACTACATCCACAGGGTTTGCCAACCCTCCCACTTCCTTGTACGCAAACTCTAGTTCCAGGAATTCTGCCAGCTGTGCGTACTTTCGAAGGCCAAGTCCAGGCTATCCTGTAGTGTGACCTAGAACCTTAGCTGGTACCTTAGGGCTGCAGGGTCATTGGCCTGAGCCTCACAGGCACCTCTCATGTGACCCTCCCACAGATTGAAGCTGCATCTTCTGGGTCCCTGTAAGCAGCACAGTGTCAGGCTGCCGGATTCTGACTCCAGTGCAGACACGACCTGGCTTGTCTTCATAGATGACAGCACAAGGCCCAGTCGCTACCGTCTTTCCCTGCCCCTGCCTGTAAAGGATTCCCAGCCTGAGGCTTCCAGAAATCTGGGGGATGCAGGGAGGAGCAAAGATGGGGAAGTAATCACCCAGTTACTAAAATTATGCCTATCATCATCAAATAGAACACGAAGGCAAGAGGGCTAATATAGCAGCTAGGAACCATCTCCAAGCCCATTCTCCAGCTTCCTTTATGTATTTTAGCATTTCTGATGTAATTACAATCTGACTTTGTTTAAGTTGGATCTTTTTTTTTAGCATAACTCTTATTCCATAGATATTTTCCAGTCTTATTGGAACTCTTTAAGCTTTATTTTTATATTAAATGCTATGTGCAGCATAGTATTCCATCATCTTGCTGCGATGTAATCAGATGTAACCATTCTCCTACATTTGGACCTGGGGTTTGTGCTCAGATGTTCACGTGTCCCATTACCCTCCTGATCACGTGCTTGAGTGACTTTCCCTCTGAGAGCCTCAGTCCTTATCTGTAAAATAGGGCCCCATGATGACCTGCGGACTCTGAGTGGTTTTGGAAGATTGAGTAGGGCACCACATGTGAATGACAGCACCAGGCCTGGCCGGAGCCATGTGAGAGGATGCCAGGTGTTATTACTGTAACCCCGCTCTCTGAACTCTATGCAGAAACCGTATCTGGATTTTGGGTCATGCAGAAATGGAATTGACAGGTAAAAGGCCCGAAGATGTTCCAAATTATTGTTCCATGTTGCCAGTTTGCTGCTCCTTATGTACAGCCCACCAGGGCAGTGAGACCTGCCTCCCACGCTCCCGCCGGCCCTGGTGTTGATCCTGGTGGAGGCAGCACCGGTTAGCATGTGGCCTTTGGGTTAGCTCTGATTCTGCCACTTACTAAGTGGAAAGGTTTCTCAACTTTTACAGGCCCAAATCTCTGTAGAACGGGAGAAATGTTAGCACCCATCTCCTAGGCCTTTGTGCAGATTAAGACGATGATTGTGTTGTGCCGGCACACGGTGAGCCAGTCCTGGATCAATATTAAGCTTATTCTTGTCTTTTATGTTCCAGGCTCTTGTGTTTTTCCTTGTGCCTACATACCTTATAATATTATTTCATAATAAACGTATGCATCTCAGAGTTCTTTGTTCTGAGTATTTGAGTCTGGTTGGTATTCCTAATGATTTTGACCTTTTCGTGCAAAGTAAATATGATTACAACTATTCGCAAGCCATCTTCTTCATGGTATTTAGCTCAAGTCTGATGATTCACCATGCCAGCATTGAAATCCTTGTTCATTACATTCACTTCCATTTCTATCTGTTAGTTATATATCTGACTTTTTCTTTTTTTAGGGCCTTTCCTCCATGGATTCAGCCATTTAAATGGAAGGTTTTAACTTTGGTGAACTCTAATTTGTCCATTTTTTTCTTTTATGGTTATAGTTTTCTGTGTCCTAAAAAACTTAGCCTACTTCGAAGTTGCAGAGAGGCTCTCTTTCTTTTTCTTTTTTTTTTGAGGTATGGTGGCTTCATGTTATGCTTAGGTTTGAGACCCATCTTGAATTTTTTCTTGTGAATGGTATGAGGCAGGAGTCATGTTTCTTTTTCTTTGTATAGATGTCCAGTTGTTCAAGCATCATTTGTACTAAAGGCTTTCCTTTCCCCATTGGGTTGCTTGGATACTTTTTCAAAAATAAATGTGTGTCTGTTTCCAGGCTCTCTGTTTAATTCCATTGATGTCTTTGTCCATTCTTACACTCATACCAACGTCTTGATTACTGTAGCCTTAGAGTGAGTCACAACATGAGCTAGTGAGGGTCATCTAGCTTTGTTCTTTTGCAAGATTGCTTTGGATATTTTAGGTTCTTTTCATTTCCATAAAAATTTCAGAATCAGCTTGTTGGTTTCTACAGAAAACTTAGCCTGGTGGGATTTGATTGGCGCTAAACCTGTAGATCATTTTGGAGTGTTGTTGACCTAATGCTGCATCTTCCAGTCTGTAGATACCTCTGACTATTATTCGGCCTCTTCCGTTCAGCGGAGTCTTGGGGTTTTCAGAGTGGAAGTCTTGCACATATTTTGTGGGTTGTTTTTTTTTTTTTTGAGGTGGTTGTTGCAAATAGGATTTAAAATTTTTATTCTCCAATTCTGTGCTACTAGTATATAAAAATTTAGTTGGTTTTATGTATTGATTTTGTAGTCCTAATAGTTTAGTTCAGTCGCTCTAGTAATTTCTGTTCTTTGTGGGAGTTTGGGCAGTAACATATTAAAGCAATTGACAGATTGTACCTCTTTTTTTTGGTAAATTGCTGTTGCTTCTATTTGTAGAGCTAATTCTAGATGATCATTAGAAACACTACATATATTAAATTAAGAACTCAGATCTGTGGATTAATTAAGTTAAATGTGTAGAATCAAGCTATTAAGCACTAAAGATCCTTCACATTCTTTGATTCCATAATGAATTATTGAGCTTTGGGGATGTGGCATTTGTGAAAAACTCCCTTTTCACACATATACTTACTGAACATACAATATAACTATGAAGGCACGTTTGAGAAAGAAAAATTCACCCACAGTCTCTCCACCCTGGCTGTACTTGTCGTATTCCTCATTGGCAGCCACAGAAAGCAGCTCTGGCCGACGTGACCAGCCTAGGGTTTAGCAACAGAGTCCTGTCTTCTCGCTCTTTCAGAAGCCCAATAACCAGGCTCAGAGACTGTGTCGAGCCAGCTCAGTTTAGACATCTCCTGTTTCGTGGGTGAGCGTGGAAGCGAGACTCACTTGGCTGTTCTCTGGGAGTTCTGGACATGGGCTCTGGCCCCAGCCTTGCCTGAAGGGACCCCGTGTCCCTGCTGCTTCCCCTGAAGTCTGGGCCCGTGTGCTCTGGGAAAGCAAGGACCAGAGCCCCTCGCTTTTTGTTGCTGGCATGCCTCCATAGAAAGGGAGGCAGGTGCTGGGAGACCAAACGCATGGCAGCTGCCTATTCTTCTGCCAGCCATGTCTCTATGCATCTTCCCAGGTGGGTTCCAAGGCATCACCCATAGCTATAAAAATGCTGCTTTGTCCACTTATCCTCACAGTGAGCAACCTCTCCAGACCCCTCTGTCATGGTGGTTTTCATGACCTGTGTTCTCTTGGAAGGAATTCCGAACCTGGCTGAGGGAAGAATGGGGGCGGACACTGGAGGACATTTTCCACGAGCACATGCAGGAGCTCATCCTAATGAAGTTCATCTATACCAGTCAGTACGAGTAAGTGCAGCCCCTCCGTGGGTACCGTGAGCGCAGCCCCTACCCCCGCATGCGTACCATGAGCGCAGCACCCCCCGACCCATGGGTACTGTGAGCTCAAGCCTTCCCACCCCCAACCCCTGGGTACCGTGAGCACAGCCTCCTCTCTGTAGGTACTGAGAGCATAGCCCTTCTCTGAGAGTGCTCTGAGTGCAGTCCCTCTCTGCGAGAAGACTGTGAACTCACTGTCGCCCTCTGTGGGTACCGTGAGCATAGTCCCCATCCCTACCTCCCGACTACCCCTTGTTTGTTTTCTGTCTGATGTGTCGTCATCATCCACCAGCTGTGCTCTGGCGGGCCGGGTGTTTGCGCCGGATCATCAGGCTCGTTTCCCATGTCTTCCCGGGAGGCCTGCTTTCTCACCGTCTGTGCCTGTGCCCACAGCCCCTGTTTAGCCTCTTTTGCCATGTCCTTTGTGCAGTCCCAGGGTGACAGAACAGGAGTGGCATTTCTTTCTCTCCACCCCAGCTGCCTTGGGGCTCCCAGCAGAGACACATGAGCCCCTGTTAAGCCCTATTGGAATCAGAGAAGGTGTCAGGGTGCCATGCACATGTGGCTAGGGGTGAGCCTGGCTCAGAACCGTGGAGTGTCGCTGCTCCTCTCTGGCCTGACCACACTGGGCTGCCCTGCTCCGCTGACCCTCCGTGGCAGAGCAGGGAGGTGCATGGGCACTGCCCTGCTGCCCCCCATGCCTCTCTGCCATGCTCTCATGCTGCCCGCTCCCCCCACAGCAACTGCCTGACCTACCGCCGCATCTACCTCCCGCCCAGCCACCCGGACGACCTCATCAGGCCGGGCCTCTTCAAAGGCACCTATGGCAGCCACGGCCTGGAGATTGTCATGCTCAGCTTCCATGGGAAGCATGCCAGGGCC